GCGCGGCCCCGCCCGCCGCCGCGGGTATGTCGTAGCGCAGCTCGTTGTGCAGTGCCGCCGCGCGCTCGACCGTCTGCGTGAAGACGAGGAAGGGCGGCCGGAGCGGCGCGTCGGCGGCGGCGGCGGCGGCGGCGGCACCGCTACTACCTTGGGTCGGGGACGAGGACGAAAAGGACGACGGGTGCAATAGCTGCCGGATGGCCAGGAGCTTGCCCGCCTCGGTGGCTGTGTAGATGAGCCGGTGGGAGATGTTGGGCACCGCCGTGTCCTTGAGCCCGACCACCAGCCTGACCAGCGGCGGGGCGGTTGTGCTGTCGTTGCTGCCGCTGTCCGAATGGTGCGCACGGAGCCGGTCAAACATGAGGACCTCGATGCTGGAGGGCATGGTTGCGGACCAAAAGGTCACGCGGAGCTCCGGGTTGCGGCAGGCCGACCAGATGCCCACCGTCTGGTCGCGAAACAGGGGGTCGAGCAGCACGTCGGCCTCGTCCAGGATCAGCGACCGCACGTCCGGTAGCTTCTTGGAGGAGCCGCCCTCGGAAATAAAGTTCAGGAGGAGCATGGGGGTGGTGACCAGGACGTCCGCCTTGGTCGGGTTCCTGGCTGCGCCGGCGGCCTTCTTCGGCCTGCTTCCGCTCTCGTCCTGCTGCTCGTCCTCCTCGCCCGACGAAGACTCGGCTTCGCTTTCGAAAAGGTCCTCGCCGTCGGCCGACGCGCCCTGGGCTGCAGACGCGGCGACCCTCATGCCCTTGCGCATCAGCACCACCCGGACCCCCGTGCCTGCGGCGAGCTTCCGCCCCTCGTTGGCGATCTGGCTCGCGAGCTCCCTAGTCGGGGCCACGACGATGGCCTCGAGCGCGTGCCTGTCGCCGCCGTCCCCGTCACCGCCCCCGCGCTCGGCCCTCCGCTTAAGGACGCCGTTGATGGCCGGTATTAGGAAGCTTAGCGTCTTGCCGCTGCCCGTGGGCGCGACCGCCAGGAAGTGGACGCCGCACCCGTCGACCGCCACGCCTTCGCAGCAGCCCAGGGCGAACTCGGGCCTGAGGAGCAGCGGCAGGCTGCCGAGCTGCACCTCGGTCGGCACCTTGTACCCGTCCCGGGCCAGGTTGTCGGCCAGCCTGGGCGAGATGCGGTACGTGCGCCGCAGCTCCGAGAAGGACACGAGCGGCTGCGGGCAGATCTGCTTCTTCTCGTCGCTCAGAGGTGGGGCCGTGGCTGCCTCTCCCTCCCCTTTGCTCAGCTTCTTCCTCTTTTTCTTCTTCTTTTTGCCATCCTCTTCCGCTTCCGGCCTCGACGCGGATTCTTTCTCGGGCTGTTGCAGCCGTAACAGCGTAAACTTGAGGCGGTGCGAGCGCATTATGTGCTTGCACTCGTCCAGTTCGAGCGGCTCGGTAGTCGAAGCGTCCGAATCGGCTTTCTTCTGCTTCTTCTTCTTTTTATCATCCCCGTCCTTTGCCGACTTCCCCGAGGCGGCATCGTCGCCCTGCCCTGGCCTGTTCTTTGGCGCGAAAAAGTCGATGTCGCTCAACTGCTCCTCGTCCTCGTCCGTCTCCCCGTCCACCTCCTGCTGCGCGCGCCGGCCATCGTCCTTCTCGCGGCTCCTCCTCTTTCTCTTGGTGCCCTTGGGGGCAGGCGCGGGTCCGACGTCATCGTGGTAAAGCTGCGGGTTGGTCTCGACGCCGGCCGAGGGCAGGTCCGCACGAGCCGGCGCCGCCGAGCCGCTGGGCCTTTTCGATTGCAGCTTGGTGCCTCGTGAAAGGACCTTTAGGATATCCATTGTCGGAATGATAATTGGTCTCTCGCGGTCTGCCACGGACGAGAGAAATGGTCACCCAACTTGCGCGCTAGGTCTTCTCCATCGTTACGCGCGCGCAACCTAGACCCGACCCCACCCTTTTTTTTTTCATGTCATTAGCCTATCGATTAGATGATAAGCGGTTTTGCTCCGGGAAATTGTATTTCCGCCCTTTCCCTCCTTTTCCACAGTCGACCCAGGCTCGACCCGACAGTTTGGTAGCACTCAGCGGCAAGTGGGGCGGTATTTGGTCAAAGGCTGCAGGGGTTTAAATGGGGGCCTCCTTGCCAAGGGGTCAGGCTCGAACCAAGACTGACGGTGCTTTCTCAATCACTGGTGGGCTGGCTGTGTCTAGTGCTTGGGCTTGGATGGCTGGGTCCAGTGTTGTGTGCGACATCTCATGCTAATGAGGTGCGGTAGTCGGTAACTTGCCTCTTTGGCGACACAAATCGTCACTACTTATTTACTGGCCGCTGACTTCTTCACCCAACTCCCATCAAAGAATTCTTCTGACTGAAGCCAGCTCAACGGGCCGACTTGGAAGAAAGAAGATAATAAAAAACGAATGAGAGGCCGGTGTAGATTTCGCAAGTCCACCTTCGGATCAAGGCTCTCCTCCCGCGGCCGTCACTTCATAAACTTGGACGCCATCAAGTCCATCAGTCCGCCGACCCCGCCGCCAGGGCCTGTAGCCGATGCGTCCCCTTTACTCTTCAGGTAGATCTTGTACGCCATCTCGCCCGCCTGCATCACGGCCGACTCCTTGGTTGAGCCAGACGACACTTTGCCCTGGGCAGACTGCTTGTCGAAGAGCTGTTTGTTTTTACGCCATATATCAGTCATCGCATTCCGCTACCGATGCCAGGTTGGAATACCTGGGCCCCCTCATATTTGCTTTGGCTGACCTTGCTCGCCTCGCTCAGCGCCAGTCCAATAAACTGGCTTTTGCCGGGGGCCGCCGCGCCGCCCGTCACCGAGGCGTCGGCCGCCCCGTGGTCGGTGAACGTTTTGAGAGCCTGTATGGCTGCCGCAGTGCCCATGTTCCGCTCGTTGACGTCGTCATCGTCGTCGTCCTCGTCGTCGTCAAAGTATTTCTTGTGGTTCTTGATAGCGGCTGCAAGATCGTCGTCAGTCTTAAATGCTCGCAGAAAGGGTGTGGAGTTGGGAGGGAGAAGCAGGCGTGTATGATATGTCGTCTTACTGGGCTCATCCACGTCGTCCTTGTCGATCTCCGCCGCCTTCTTCTTCTGCATGAGGCTGTCGAGGATTCCGCTAAATAGGCTAACGTCGCCCGAGCTTCCAGCGTGCTGCGAGGCAAGCTCGGCGGCGCCGCGGATGTCGTCGTCGTCGTCATCGTCGTGGTGGATGTTGATGTGGCCTTTGGAGTAGCTGGTTAGGGACGCCGCTATCCACGCCCATGTTTCTGCCCACAAGGCAGTGACACGCCCCGGGCTCTCTGCCGCAAGGCACCCGTCCTTGTGCACATGTGACTGGGTGACGCATGACAGATACTAAACCTCAAGGGACCGTTACGCTGCTCACCTGTCATGTTGCTCGCGGCGTTGGACGGTTGATTTCGGCGCGTGTCCCGGATACCGGCGGGCTGGTTGGTGAATGAGGTAAGTAGTGGGGTGGGTATGCTAGACAAGGCGCGAAAAGCCAACGTCCTCAATATTTGTGCCGCGCTTTTCTGGTTCAGCCCTCTACGTCAGGTAGTCAGTGGAAACAAGATTAAGTCGGCTGGAGGCTGGAGTTCACTGGAAAAAGGCTCAAGGAAGGGTTGGCGTGGTGTGCCCCTGCGCTTTTGAATGGTCTCGACCCCTCATCTGCCCATAAGTCCTTACTTTGGTTAAAAGGATGTACCTTCTTGGTGAGTAGGTAGGTATAGTACCTACCAGCCTATTCACTCTAATTCAATAGGGGCTGCATGAGCTGGAGGTGGATGGCGAAGCGACCTTTCGAGTGTCACCCACTCCATGGTTACCCCACTGCGACTAGGCCAGCTCGGCTGTGTGCTTCCCTCCATCCAAGCAATAGCGCCAGCAGTGACGTGTGCGGGGTGGCTGTCCAAGCTGCAATATGCTTGAAACCCTGAATGACCACACCCATATCCCCAAGCGACCCAATGGCCTAGCCGGGCCCCAGGTCCCTGCGGCTCGCAGGGTGGGAATGCACCCACCGTGGGCAAAGCCCCGCCCTGGTATCCCTGAGCTTTATTGGTTCCAATGACACATGCCACATCATGCTTTCACTGCGGACACAAGTTTCAGTTGACTCGGAAGGAGCATCAGGCACTGAGGCTGGCTGCTCCGTCGAACCCGGGTCTGTGTGGCACGCGCGAGCCCGAGGTAAATCGGTTATTGGTTGGGAGATTGATACTGCAGCACTGTAGTGTGTATGTACATGATAGGCAGGCGGGTAGGTAGGTAGGTATGCCCAATGAAGCCGCTCCAAGACGCTTGTGTCGATCGCCGCCGACCTTCTTTTCACCCACACGTTACCTGGGGTATATCGCAAACAAATTCGGGAACAATTGGAGAAAGTGGCTGAAGAGGGAGGAATGGTGGGATAACAAAAAAGCAGACGGTGTATATGGGGAATGGCAAAAGGGATGACCGTATGTCGATAGTTTAAGCAGACATCGCATTCTATACACCCCTTCCAAAGCGCCGGTTTTGACGGGGAAAAAAAGGGGAGGAAAACAAAGACCTTGCCTTATTAGTAGGGTGTGATATTTGCTGGTACAAGCAGGCTCTTCGTATAGGTAATGGACATGCCGGGCGCCGATGGATAGGAGATATGGCTAGGCCAGCCCACCATGGTCGTCCACAAACCCCTTGTTTCATGTCGCGGTTTGTGGCCACGACGCAAGGCGCATTTCCTGTAGCGTGTGAGCATCTTGAATAGTATCGATGCATAAGGTTGGTCGAGGGACCATCGAGCTTCAATAATCTGCAACTGTCATGGAAGTTGCCGTTCCAGTTCCGTTGCGGACGTTTTTCTTCTTCTCCTTCTTGGCCCAGCGGAGGCCGCAGGCGTTGCAGAGAGTCTTAGGCCCACTGGGCCCCTTGCGCCATTCTGGAGAGTCGAGTGTGCCTATACCACGGGGTCAACGGTTTAGCTACAATGGGGCGATGATACAAGAAGGGGGAGGAGAAGGGCTATAAACTTACCGCAGTCGGTGCACACGTACTCCTCTGCCACCTTGAGCTTTTTCTTCTTGTCCGCGCTGGCCCTGGGATCCCTATCAAGGGGTATCGCGATGCCGGCGTCCCCCTTGGTGAGGATAGGGCTGGTGTTTCCCGGAGTCACCCCGTGGCTCCTCTCGCCATCCTGGTACCGCAGCCCCGTCAACATCTCGATAGTATCGGCATGAGATGTGCCCTCGTAGCGCGCCATCTTGTCCTTGATGGAATCTTGCCGCACGCTACCCTCGAGGTTCTCGCGCGTGAGCTTTCCGTCCAGAGCGGCGGCGGCGCCGCCGCCGCCCGAGAGTGGAATGCCCTCGTTGTGAGGTGCGTGTGCGTGGCCGGGGTGCCTGGGTGTCGCTGAAGCCGAGGCCGTCACGGTGGCATCTTCAGACATGATATCGGAGCGTCCCTCCAAGCTCGCCGGCCATTGACGCTGCGAATCCTCGCCGCCATCTTCGTATTCCTCCTTGCGCAACTCATGTATACGCCGTCGCAATCTCTCGTTCTCGATCTTGTGCTCAAGGAACGAGTCGAGCAGAACCGCATTTTTTGTCGGGTAGGGGCGCGATATGAGAAAGACGGCCTGGCAGAAATGCGACTTGTTATGCGGGTTGGGGGCGAATTTTGCTGGAGCGATATGGCCATGGCCGACCGACTCGAATATGCCATACGTGCCATCCTTCTTGCGCATGCGATAATAGAAGCGCATCGTGTTTCCCGTAGCTATGGACTCGTTCAGCTCCGAGACGAAGATGCCAACATCGTCTGGGTGGATCAGGTCTCGTAGGAACGCGTCCAGCATTTCTTCTTTTGTATATCCTGTCAGCGCTGTGACGCTTTGGGACACATGCCTGACCCGCCCGTTCTCGTCCAATATTTGCTGCAGGTCCGCCAACTCTTCCACCGTCCGCGCCGCCCAGTCCCGCTTCTTTGTGTAGTCTGTTAAGGTACTGCCTCCTCCCCCGCCCCCGCCCCCGGCAGCAGGGCCCGGCAGCTGTTGTTGTGGTTGTTGGGGTTGTTTTTGTAACGGGGCGGCGAAGCCACTTTTTGCTGATGCCTGCTGGGATGCCGGGGAGGCCGACGGTGCCTGTCCGGTTGCGATACCGTCCATGGAGCCCAATAGCCCCTCGGCATCAGTGGGGCCGCCCGATGTTCCGGTTACGGGGATGACGACCCGTCGCAGGTCAGACGCGGCCGGGGCGGAGACGACGGGAGCAGGGGCGGGCGTTGCGGCGATAGCGGCTGGGGCTAGAGGGCGCTGGAAGGTTTGCGCCGACATGAGCGCATTGGCGTCATCGTCGAGTGCCATCTGCATACTAGAGTCGAAGGCGGGGTTGTAGCCGAGAAGAGACATCATGGCGTCGTCATCCTAGCGGATCCAGAGGGAAAAGGAATTAACTCCATGGGCCTCCCGAGTCGCCCGCTGCGGGCGACACGTCGCGCTGGTGGGCAGCTTACCTGCTGATTGGGCGGCTGGCCACCCTGCATATGGTCGCCAAAGCCGTAGAGGTTGGCTTGTGGTTGTGGGGGCTGGTGGTGGGACATGGTGCCTGAGGGGTTGCCTCCGACTCTGCGAGTTGGCTCACTGGCGGCGATTGTCGGCGAGTCGCCGTGGGGATCAGGGTCGATATCGGGGTCGGTTCTTCGGTGTGAGAAAGGCCGGCTTGGCGAAGTCGAAAGACCTGGGCTCGCACAGCCAAAAGGGAGGGAGGGGCGGATAAGCTCTCGCGGTCTAGAAACCGCGGCTGGTCCTGGGCAGGGGCCACAAGGAATGGAAGTTGGACCAGCGGTGGACCCCGTCCTAAAAAAGAGCGGCACTGTCCCAAGAGGAAAAAAAGGAGAAAAGGCGGCGATTGAAAACGGGGTTGCGATCGTCAGGGTTGGCAAACGCGCTTTTACATAGGTACGAGGAGGTCCCAGCCAATGGGCAAGGCGGCGGATAGCCTCGAGGGCGTCGGCCGGTCGCACAGCCAAGGCACGAGCACCAGCTAAGGAGGTATCGGTTTGCCGAAAGAGAGAATGTGACGAACGGGGGCGAGGGGGCTGCTGTCGTGTAAATCGGGCCAAGCAAAGTACCCTGGCTCAATCTCTAGTGCCTTTGCAGTGGGTGTCAATGTCTCGCTGGAAAGGAGTCGATGGCTGGCTGGCTGGCCGGTGCCACTGTACGGCGTCTCTCCAGAAAGCAAGACGCAGGAGAATATTAGGAAGTCTAAAGAAACAAAAGGAGGCCAAGCCAGGCGGAATGCCGTCTCCATGGCCTCGATGGGTTCGTTGGCCCGCCTGGATTTGGCCTGATCTCAAACTAGAATTTGACTAATGTTGGCTCGCGCTGGCGTGGCGGCGGGCACCTGTCCGGCAAGCCAAGAGCCCCAAAGAACATGAACCACCGGCCCCCGCCCCGACAGAGCAGCGCGTCCTGTGCAATGACGAAATGGCAACGCGTGCGGTTCTGAAATTCGCAATTGCCCGAACGGGCGTTGTGGCTAGCACTCGGGCAGCGTCTACAGGCGGCACAGGTACCAACGACCGACTGGCTGGCACTTGGGCACCTACTGCACCCCGCTCGCCTGCCCAATGGAAGCACCGCGGCAGGGTTGCAGCTTGAATCCAAGTCCAGCGTGGAATGGCACGTTCCACTCAGTGCCGCTCAGCGCCTTAGCGCCCTCCCGTATCGCCACGACACCTCCACACCAGGGGGCCTAGCGCCATGCGGATCAAGTTCCCCGGCGTGCCTGCCGCGCTCAATGCAGTCTGTATAAATTGCATGACCGAGTTCCGTACGATATACTTACTAGTAGAACACCCCAAAACTTACGGTCACGGTCGACCCCCTCAATGTCAGGTACCTACCTACCTATACGCTCCTAACTTGGGAAAAGGGAGGTAGGTAGGACCTTGATTCGCAGCGTCTACCTCGTGCCCCCCGTCATTGATTGGGCTGGCTTGCGGTAGCTAGCGCAGGTGCCGGGGCCCACTCCGTCATGCCACTACCATCGCACCAAGCCGATGGGCTGGTAGCAGAGCTTGGGTTTTTGTCAAGACTCACTGGGAGCTGTGTGGGAGTAGCAGCAGAACCTGACTCGGAAAACGGACCGGCTGGTGGGCGGCAGTCGACCAGACGTCATTGGCCATGAGTCGGAAAAGGACGCTGTGAGCTCCATGAATCGGATGGCTTACGGGTTCGTGGCCGCGGAATGTACGGGATTCAAGGCTCAACACATGGTTGTACCTACAGTATAGGAAGTCCCACCAGCTGCCCTTCAGACTTCCAGTCTCGATCAAGCGTTTATGATGCAAGCGGGGAGATCGCTCCGCCCTTAGGCAGCGTTCAGGCAGCTCCAGGCAAGCAGGGCTGCGCTAGCAGCGGGGCGGGCAGGCAGCAACAGACCCACTTCGAGTAGAGGAAGTCTCGTGAGTCCGTGTCATTCAGCGACCCATCGAACGCGTCCGCCTGGCCTCCTCGCGTCCCCTCCCACATCCCACATCCCAACTCCAGGTGTCACGTCATCAGTGCCGCCTTTGCCTCCATGTCCAGGATCGACCAGCTCAACATCCGCGGCATCCGCTCCTTTGGGGTCGGCAGCGCCGAGAATGTCAAATTTCACACCCCGCTCACCCTCATCGTCGGCGAGAACGGCTGCGGAAAGACGACCATAATCGAATGTCTCAAATATGCCACCACAGGCGAGCAGCCGCCCAACAGCAAGGGCGGCGCCTTCATCCACGACCCCAAGATCGACGGCGAGTCCCAGACCAAGGCCCAGGTCAAGCTCCAGTTCTTCTCTACCATCGGCGAAAAGCTGGTCGTCACCCGGAGCATGTCCCTCACCTGGGCCAAGAAGAAGGCCACTGCAAAAACCCTCGACGGCACTCTGAAGATCTACAATGGGCCCGACACCGTGTCACTCTCCAAGAAGAATGCCGACCTCGACAGGATGATCCCCGACAAGATGGGCGTGCCCTCCGCCATCCTTGAGTCTGTCATCTTCTGCCACCAAGAAGACTCGCTCTGGCCCCTGAGTGAACCGTCCGTGCTCAAGAAGAAGTTTGACGAGCTCTTTGAGGCCGTCAAGTACACCAAGGCCATTGACGCCCTCAAGGTCCTTCGCAAGAAGCACGGCGACGACCTTCGCGTGTACCGGACCAATGAGGCCGATGCGAAGCGCTATAAGGAGAAGGGAGAGAGTCTGGAGAAGGAAATCCGCAAGCTGAGGGCTGAGCTCGAGGATCTCAACGCCCAGTACGACACTGCGATCAAGGATATGAACGCAGTCGGAAGGCAGGAGAAGGCGAAGCGGGAGGAGGCCATGAGCTTCTTGAGTGTTGTGACTGACCTTAGAAATAAGGTCGACCTGTACGAGACGCGAAAGCAGATTGCCGAGGAACTGAAGGAGTCCATTGATCGCATGTCGGAGCCCGATGAGGAGCTTGAGGCCATGCTGTCCGAGTACAAAGACAAGGTCAAGCAGATGGAGCAGGAACGCGAGGATTTGACTGCACAGTACAACAATCTCCATCAGGAGATCGTTTCGTCGCGAAAGTCCCTGGCAGAGAAGCACACCGAGCGAGGAAAGCACGCATCAGATCAGGAGCACCACGAACGACAACTGACAGCCAGACTCAGCATGATCCATGAGGCGGCCCAGCAGCACGAGATTCGTGGCTATGATGGGGATCTGACAGACACCAAAGTCCATGGCTTCGAGGCGCGCATCGAGAGTATCCTGACCAACAAGAAGCGAGAGCTCGCAGAGCTGAATCAGACACAGGAGAGGCTAAAGAACCAACATGATAGTCAAATCTCGAAGCTCGGGGCTCGGAGGGAGTACCTGGTCACAAACCGAGCCGGCACCCTAAAGCGCATCAAGGAGCTTGGTGAGCGGTCGGCAAGACTCCAGCGCGACGCGAACGACCTAGACGTTGACGAGGGCGCTCGGGCGGTCCTTGAGGCGCAAGCGACACAGCTAGAGGAAAAGCTCCGGGGCGAGCAGGAGGGCTTGAAAGAGGCCGACCTGGATAGCCAGATCAATAAAGAGACTGATCAACTCAACCAGCTGGAGAGCCAGGTTGCGAGGCTCAACAGCGAGCTTGTGCAGTGCAGCCACCTGGCCTCGGAGCGTGCCCAGCTGGACCTCAGGAAGAAGGAAGCCAAGGACCAAGGCCTTTACCTCCACTCGGTCACGGAAACCTGGGCGGAGAAGCTCTCTGCCCTCACCGGGGCCCCGCTGGACCCCAGCACGATCGGCGCTAGCTATCAGGAGGTCCTTGATCAGCGCCACTCGGATGTTGCTGCCAAGAGGAAGCTTGTCGACAGCACACATCAGGAGCAAAAGCAGTTCGACATGAAGCTCTCGGTGGCTCGCGACGAAGAGCGCGCATTAACCAAGGAATTGGAGCGCTGTGAGGCGGTCGCGCGAAAGGCCCTGTCCCAAGTCAAGAGGGAAGACGAGCCAGAGCCACAGATCGAGAGCTTCCTCGCCACCCTTACTGCCACCGAAGAGGATCTGAGCACTACCGAAACGGATATTGCCCTTTTTGATGCCCTCCTCAAGCATTACGGCGCCGCCGACAAGAAGTTGAATGAAGACAACAAGTGCTCACTCTGTGAACGCACATTCGGCGAACGGGACGGACTCGCCAAGTCGAAGCTGATGAGGAAGATCGCCAAGCATCTGGATCCTGCCGAGAAGAACATACTGAAGGAAGAGAAGGTGGTCTTATCCAGGAATGTGGTGATTCTTAAAAATGCGCGCAAGTCCTATGAAGCATACCAAAGGGCCCAAGAGAGTCTACCTGGCGCTCAGGACAAAATCAAGGACTTGGAGTCCAGCAAGGACGCCGTCGTCAAGGACCTAGAAGCCCATGACGCTGCGCTGCGAGACGCCGAAGAGAAATTGCGGGAAGTCGAGTCCATGGCCAAGGCGGTTAGGAGTATCACGGACGCCCAAGCGCGTATTCGTGAGACAGAGAAGGAGATCGAGCGGCTCTCGTCGCAGCAGAGCTCCATTAGCGCGGTGCGAAGCGCACAGGAGATCCAGGACGATCTTGTCGACTGCTCTGAGCGGACGCGTGCTCTGAGCAACAAGATATCAAAACTGAGCGCCGATCGGCAGAGGCGCAAGGACATGGTGTCGCAACTGGAGCTCGACAAGAGCGGACTTCAGCGCAAGATGTCAGAGTTCGAACAGAAGCTCGTCCGTAAACGCGACCTTGTGGCACAGATGGAGACGCTCAAGAAGGACCGGGCCGAGCTGGCGGAGAAGAAGGAAGAGGACGGGATCGAGCTTGAGCAGCTGGAGCCCAAGATAGCCAAGGCCAAGGCACTACGCGAGCAGGAGGTGTCCGAAGGCTTCATCAAAATCCAGGCGGCCGACTCTCAGAGATCGTCGATTACTAGTACGGTTGAAAAGCTCAAATCGATCAGCGCCGAAATCGAGAACTATGTGGAGCGCGGGGGACCGGGCCTCCTAGCAGCAAGCGAGCTTTCGATCAGGAACCTGGAGCAGGTCATTGAGCGGACAGAGAAGGAGCTGAACAAACTGACGGCCAAGATCAACAAGTTGCGCCAGGAGTTGGCGGATAGCGGGCGCAAAGAGAAGAACATCAAGGACAACCTCAATTTCAACAAGACGCAGCGGGTGCTGGAGACACTGCAGCGCGAGATTGGGCAGCTAGAGCGGCGCAACGCAGAAGAGGACTGGAACCGGATCGACGCCGAGGCCAACGCGTTCAAGCACAAGCGCGACATGTTGTCGGGGAAATCGCACAGCCTCATGGGCACTATCAGCACCAAGGAGGAGGTGCTGCTGAGCAATGAAGAGATGTACGAGCAGGACTACAAGGACGCGCGAACAAAGTACCGCGAGGCGCACATCAAGGTGGAGACGACCAAGGCGGCCATCGAGGATATGGCCAGCTACGTGGCAGCACTGGAGCAGGCCATCCTGTCGTTCCACAGCCTCAAGATGGAGGAGGTGAACCGCATCGCGGGCGAGCTGTGGCGGGCGACGTACCAGGGCACCGATATCGACACCATCTCCATCAAGTCCGAGGCCGAGGGCTCGAGCACCACGACGAGCACCTTGAGGCGCAGCTACAACTACCGGCTGTGCATGGTCAAGGGCGACCTAGAAATGGACATGCGCGGGCGCTGCTCGGCGGGCCAGAAGGTGCTGGCCAGCATCATCATCCGGCTCGCCCTGGCCGAGTCGTTCGGCGTCAGCTGCGGGCTCGTCGCCCTCGACGAGCCGACGACCAACCTGGACGAGGCCAACATCCGCAGCCTCGCCGTGTCCCTGCACAGCATCATCCAGGCCCGCCAGGCCCAGGCCAACTTCCAGCTCATCATCATCACGCACGACGAGGCCTTCCTGCGCGCCATGCAGGTGTCGGACTTTTGCGACACCTTTTACCGCGTGCGCCGCGACGAGATGCAGCGCAGCAGGATAGTGACGGAGAACGTCTCCATGCTGATGACCTAGACAGATGTCAGGAGAAGGGGAGAGGAGAGGCCGTGCTCGGGTTGGGGAAGAGATGATGGATATCACGAGGCGTGGAGTTTCCGGGAGCCTGGTGTTGGTTGTTTTGTGATATTTGGGATTATTGCCCTGTACCCGTTTGCTATTTCTCGCCTCACATACTCGGTGCTTATATAGTTGGGAAACTGGTAGGGTGCCTGTGCGTGTACCCACCAATGTAATGAGCCAAGCGCCTAAGAAATTGATATACGCAATGGCTGTGGCAGGCATACTGGGATAGGTGGAATCGTATCTACAGGACATCTTGTGCTCTCTAGGGACAGGCCGCGATGGAACAAACAAGAAAGCAGATAAGTCGATGCTCAAACTGATGTGAGCAAACCGATCCTATACGCTAAATAACACAATTCCGTCGCGCATTCTCGCTCTCTCGTTATTATGTCGACCATGTATGTAGCTAGCTACCTAGGTGGCTGGCTGCGCATCATCTGTAATTAAAACATCACCATCCAAATCGACACTGGCGTCGCCGCCCTGCTTCGCCGACGCGTCCGAGGCAGCCGCGTTACCCACCGCCGCCGCCGCGTCCTGGTCCCCCTTGACCTTCTTGGCCGGGGGCTCCCCCTGGTCTCCTCCGCCCGCGGCCGAGCCGTCGGCCTCCCTCTTGGGCGTGGGGGCGCCCTCGGTGACCGAGTCGGAGTCGTCCGAGGCGGGCGCCGGGGCGCCGTCGCGGGGCCGGCCGACGGCGGCCTCGACGTTGAGGTGGTCCAGCTCGAACGGGGGCGCGGACTCGCCCGGCGCGGGGATGCTAGTGCCCGCCGCCTGCAGCCCCGTGTCCGCGAGTCCGATCTGCTCTGGCCCCCGCAGGTGCGGCGCCTCTTCTTCGTCGCCGTCGCCGTTTTTCGCTTTCGCCTCGGCGGCTTCGCCGTCCGCGACGCCGTGGAGGATCACGTCGTCCATTTCGTCCGACGCCGCATTTGCCGCCCTCCGGTCCGCCTGGTTTGTGGGCATGACGCCGTGGCGCTGCTCCTCCCTGATCAGCTCGCCCTGCGTCACCCCCTGGTTCTCGCCGCCGACGGATGACAGGGACGACGCCGACGCGCTGGCGCGGGCCATTGCCGCCGCCATGGCGGCCCCGGCGCCGTGGTGAGAGAAGGTGCCGTTGACAGAGACAGAAACGGTCTCAATATGGCCTACGCCGTTGGGACCCTCTATGGTCTCAGTCGACTCGGTACTGAGCCGTTGCTGCTGGCGCGGGCGGCCCGATCCGTGATGCTGGGCGTCGTGTGGCTGGTGGGACCCAGCGCCGCCGCTGCCGCTGCCACTAGTGTCGCTGAGACCGTCGTCGCTGCTTCCGCCGTCCATCATGTCTGGCTCCGGGCTCAGGGCCGCGTCCGCGCCATCCACGCTTTCGGCGCGTCGGGTAAGCCAGGGGATGGGGGTCAAGAGGGCACCACCCAGAGCCTCGTCGGAGCCCGGGTGGACTGAGTTTGCCGACGACAGCGAGACTGGGGAGGCGGCGGCGGCGGCGGTAGCGGCGGCGGTGGCGGCGGCCGATGAAGACGAGGATGGGCGACGGGCGCTACCGAGGACACCGTTGGCCAGGGCGGCCATGGCGGCTGGGTCGGGCGCGGCGGGCGGTAGCGGAAATATGTGGGCGCCTGAGGCGACCTGAATGACACGGTCGACAGCATGCAGGTAGGATGGCAGCGACCGGTAGTGCTGGCGCGGGCGCAGCACCAGCTCGGCCAGGCGCTGGATGGTGTGGGGTGGGTGCGAGGGGAAGCCCTTGGTTAGTGTCGACGTGATCTCTGCCAGCTGCGCCGCGATCTGGGGTGGCAGCTCCGGCCTCTGCTGCGATGGCGAGACTTCAGCCGCCCCCGGGGCGGCTGATGGCGGTTGAGGCGGCGGCGGGGTGGTGGTGCCGGGATCGGCTGGCTGGGCGGCGGCAGCGGCCGGCTCCTGGGCTGCTGCCGCTGGGTTCGCATTCTCCTTGTTCGTCTCCTGCGACGAGCCCGGTGAAGCGTCGGCATCCTTTTCCGCCTCCATGTCTTCCCTAGGCCGTTCGGCGGGGCCTATGGGATCTGATGAGGGAAGCGGGTCGAAGAAACACGGCATCGGGAGCGGCACGAGCCTTGCCGGGGCGGGGAGGATGGGGATGGGGAAATCATTGTGCGCGATCTGGCGGGCGACGGAGCCGTTAGTCTGGGCTGCCCTCCTGGACGGCTGATGGCCGGGCTCCGTACCTTTTCGATGCGCGCAACTATGTCGCAGAGCAGCGAGGGCCAGGACGCGCTACGGGTGGCGATGATGTCAGTTGTCAGGGCCGAGGTGACGCGCGACGGGCTGGAATGGGCATGTGGGTTGCGCGGGCGGGGGTAGCGATGGAACTCACTAGTCCATGGAGTCGCCCAGGGCGAGCTTGCGCAGGGTCTCGTCATCCGAGTCGAGATCCATTGTTGCGGTGGGGATGTCACGCAGGCGTTGTGCGGCGTCTCTGTGGCGGGCGCGTGAGGTTGGTCTCGTTGTCGCATCCAAGCATGAAATCAATTCGATTCAATGTTTGACCCAGCCTTTGGCAGTGGGGCCCACGGTTCCCAGGCACCACGTACAGCTCCACCACCCCGATTCTGCTGCACGCTCTTGCCATGCATGCCACGGACCATGGTCTGGTTCTAATCCTGATGATAACCAGACAGCCAGAGATGGGTGTTCTGGGTTCCTATCTTTTCCTTGCGTTGCGGTAGGCAGGTGGTGGCAGGTATTGATCGTCAGGCGCCAGGAGATATCCCCGATCGATACCAAACCCGCTGCCAACCATCTGTAATCTTATACATCCCTTATGCAGCAATATCAATATGAGTTTGGTGGGTTGGTGGTCAAGCCCAATGCGGCAGCGATACATGGAATAGAAAGCGGGGGGGAACGCTCCAGGCCAAAAGGGCTACGTCGAGATGCGAGAAGCAACAGAGTCCCGAGACTGTGTGTGGAATGAACGGGTTTCGGCAGGTCCCGCATCAATTAATATGTTTTGACTGGCACTGCACCCGCAACCTGTGCCAACGTGCCGAGTGACGAGAGCGGAATGCCCACTCTTCAAGACAACAGTTCAGTAATCTGTCGATCAGTTTACCAAGCCGGAACCAAGAAAAAAAAAGCCGGCTATTCCCACAAATCACTGCCCTATCGAGGCTATGGTTGATAGGAGTAGTAGAGGTATCATATATCATGACATACCAGCATTCGCCGCATAGGATTACAGAAGGGATCCTAATAACGCCAATACCTACATTGTCACAATGACCAGCTTTTCGGAGAGTCGCCATCCCCCGAAGCCCAGAATCCAATAGTCCTGGGTCGAGAAATAGGAGACTCCAGCGACTCCTCATTTGATGGTACCCACCCATGAAGCTTGATAAGGCGCCAGGTATACATAGAAGTTTTCTTCGCATAGCAGTCCAAGTCAGGAATCCCCGTCGACGAAAAGGGGCTGGTTGGCCGGACTGTCAGACAGACTGATTAAAGTGCACAGCCCAGCCAATTCACTTGCTCGCCGCAGCTTATCTGGTCGGCGCTGAACAGTTTCTCTGATTGCCAATTCCAGCGCAGACAAGAAAGAGGCCGGGCGTCGCAAACGAAAACGGGCGCCTAGGACATTCCACAACGTAGCTTGGCAACCGTCGGCAATCGGCCGCCAAGACCGGCTGACAGCAAAGCTTGGCATGCTTGTTTCTCGACTCGTAGCGCCGTCATTCTCCGTGAGGGGGCTCGCGATACGCCCGGTAATGGCCGACGGGGCCGACCTCATAGCCAGCTTCCTTTTCTAGAAGGTGAGGCATCGCCGGGGTGCCCACCCATATGCATGAGGTGCATGTCGTCGGCCTTTCTTCACCCATCATGGTTGCCCTTTCCCTTGAGGTTCGCCGTTGCTTGACACGCGTCGCTGCCCCGGGCGCAATTAACTTCCTGCCAAGTCCTGGGGGTGGCTCGACGTCCATTGCCGGCTTCCCCGGTCATGGAAGGAGCATCTAACCCTAGACTCCGGGTAGGCTTGGGAACTATTAAAACTTCTCGTCCTCCCCGAGTCGGGTCGTCCTGATGAGCGACTTGTGTGACAGAGAGACAGTGACTCGGCCTTGTCCCGACCTTGTCCAGCCCTCGGAGCAGAACCGTGAACCGTACCATACGCACTCACGCTCCCACGCACCCACGTCAAGATGCGCTGCTCCCTGCTGCTGACGTCTCTCCTGGCGTCCGCTGCCGCCGCCTCCGGCCGGCGCAGCCTGGCCCACGTCGGCAAGGGCCACCTGGACAATGTACTCCAGCGTCGAGCGCCCAACGCCCATGACCCCCAGAAGCATATCGCCGAGCGGGCTGCCAACTCTACCCGCTTCCTGAACTCCAAGACTTCAGGTCAGTCTCCCGCCATCTCCCCCTGAGCACCCGCAAGGGATAAACCCACATGGGGAGAAAGCCGCAGTTGCTCACGCTCAATTCTCCATAGGGTTTGCGGTCAACGGCACTGGCATTCCGGATGTGAACTTCGACGTCGGCGAGTCGTACGCCGGCAACCTGCCCATCAGCAGCGATCCCAACGAGCCGAGCAGCCTCTTTTGGTGGTTCTTCCCGTCGACGAACCAGGCGGCCGATAAGGAGATCCTCATCTGGCTCAACGGTGGTGTACGTACCTACCATATACCCGGGCAATGACGTCTCGAGAAGCGTCTCGGCCGTTTAGCATCGAGAAGGCGCACTAACAGAAATCCGCGTCTACAGCCCGGCTGCTCATCACTCGAGGGCCTGCTCCAGGAGAACGGCCCGTTTTCGTGGCAGTATGGAACCTTCAAACCTGTTCCGAACCCCTGGAGCTGGCACACCTTGACAAACGTCGTCTGGATCGAACAGCCGGTGGGGACCGGATTTTCGACGGGCAAGGTCACGGCAACGAGCGAAGAGGACGTGGCCAAGCAGTTCATGGGCTTCTGGAAGAACTTTATCCAACTGTTCGACATGCAGGGCTACAAGGTCTACATCGCTGGCGAGAGCTATGCTGGCTTGTACTGCCCTTATATCGCCAGTGCGTTCCTCGATGCCAAGGACACGACCTTTTACGACATGAAGGGCATGATGATCTACGACCCATCCGTGGCCCCGGACACCTTGACTGAGCTCGCGCCTGTCGTCTCCTTTGTCGACTACTGGGGTGGGCTGTTTCCCTTCAACGACACGTTCCGCGCCGACATCCACGCACGCGCCGACAAGTGTGGCTACACCGACTTTATGAAGGAGTACCTCGTCTATCCCCCAAAGGGACCGATCCCCGACGCGCTTCCCGGCATGGACGAGACGGGAGCCATCAAACCCGAATGCTCGGGCATCTACAACGACATCTTCTCGGCCATATCGCTGATAAACCCCTGCTTCGACATCTACCAAGTCGCCACCACGTGCCCCCTCCTTTGGGACGTCCTGGGCTTCCCCGGCTCATTCGAATATCTGCCAGACGGCGCGACCATCTACTTCAACCGCACCGATGTCAAGGCCGCCATCCACGCGCCCGCCGAGGTGAGCTGGAGCTCGTGCGCCAACGAGAACGTCTTCGTCAATGGCACCGACAGCTCCGACTTCTCGACGCAGAACGGCGTCATGGGCGGCGTCATCGAGCGCACTAACAACGTGGTCATCTCGCACGGCGCCCTGGACATGATCCTGCTCGCAAACGGCACCCTGCTCGCGATTCAGAACACGACGTGGAACGGCGCGCGCGGGTTCCAGTCGCCGCCGACGGAGCCCTTCTTCGTCCCTTACCACGACGAGCCGGCGCTGGCCACGGTGGCCGGGGCGGGCACCTTCGGCACGGTGCACACTGAGCGCGGCCTGACGTACGTGGGTGTCGACCTGGCCGGCCACATGGTGCCGCAGTACGCGCCCACGGCGGCGTATCGGCAGCTCGAGTTCCTGCTGGGGAGGGTGGACTGCATGAACTGCACGAAGCCGTTCACGACGACGGCGGCCCAGCGCGCGGCGCCTCAGGGTTCGAGACGGCGGTAGTGACGGGCGCAAAATGCGGGCGAGGAAGGTTTTTTTTTTTTTTGGAGCAGACGCCATGATCCTTGCTGTCACAATTCCTTCTCGTGCTTTTAGAGTAGCAGCTAAAGAGTATACTCGGCTTAGTAATATTCTAACGGTCATCACTTGGACTCGACCGTCTCGTCTGATATTCAAGGTTTGGCTTGGGCCAGCAACGTTCCGGGAGTCAGTGTCACCGGTTCGTCTGCCGTGGGAACGCGTATCATCGACACTTTCTCTGTGATACGGCTTATTTTTCTTCTTCCTTGTTCACGATAGAGGCGGGCCAAGAAGGGGCCCGGCCGGAAGCGGCGGTCTTGGTTGCTCCTCGACCTCTTTCACTGGGCTTAGTTAGTGTCGTTTTCGTTCGGTCGCCGGCACGCAGGAGATGACGGCGTTCGGCTCACAAAATCTTGTCAGTTGAGCGGAGAACGGCACTAAGCTGAGCGGTCTGGTGCTTTGATGCACTGCCCGACACGGCGGAGCTGGTGGGGTTACAATTGGTCTCGAGACAGCCCCTCCTCCGGCTCACGAGCTACCCATTCCATGGATGTGCTGGGGAACCCGCGCTGCGAAAAAAAAAAAAAAAAAAAAAATACAAGAGCCGGGCACATGCATGCCCGACAACTGCAGACTGTGCGCCGGCTCTGGCCGCCTTCCCGGATATTGTTGGCACGATTGCTGGGGCTTTCTTGTTTTCCTCTGCTTGTTTTTTTCGGGCTCCTTCTTGGCCTCCAGGGTTTTTATACTTGTGGGTCTTTCATGCATGTTGGCAATGCAATGCGAGGAAAACGCGAACAGGTGGGCAGCACAGCCCGCGGACATGGCTGGTAGGGGTGGGGCGTGGAGTGGGAAAAGGAGGCATTAGGGCGTCGATGGGAGCTCATAGGGAACGTCGGACCTAACAAAACAGTAGTCAACGGTTGTCCAACAGTCGCACCACGTCGTCACGCCACAAGAGCCAAAGAAACACCAGCGCTCTTGCGTGGTTGCCGGTTGATGGTGCCGTGGGACCCGACAACCCAAACTGCCTCCTGCCCGTCAGTGGCTCAGCCCACCACTCTGGCTGTGCCAATGCATCCTACGTCGCGTGTAGAAATGTCGTCACCGGCCCGATCACGAGGGTTGGACACGGTGGGGGGTTCTTGGGAGGATACAGTGAATGGAGAGGGGGACCTCTTTTGATTCTTGGAGTGATGATGCCTTGCGGCATTCCATGTGCATCCACGCCCCGAATAAGACACAATGATATTTCAGCTGCAGCATCTTCAGGGTCTCGCGCTGGACTGAGGCATCAAACTTTGCCCCCTGCCATGCCAATGGCGCGCTTGCGTGGCTTTTCGGGCTGGCCGCGAACACAGTAATCTCCCCGTTTCCGCAGGCGACCGGCCGGGGCTAACTGTCCTGGTGAGTATCTATTTGCCTGGTAGCATGCAGATACGGGATTCTCATGGAAGCAATTCCATTCTTGTCACTGGGCGGGGCCTCGATCGCACCAGACCTGGCGCGCAGACAGGCCCGGTCTGGTTTCTTTTTGTTAAAGTTGACGCCATGCGCGGCTCCATCTCGTCTCCATCTGCGTCTCGGATGCCGGCCCAGAGTTGCGCCAGGGAAAATTGGAAGCACGAAAGAGGAAAAATGGACAGCAAACAGATGGTGCCATTTGCTACACCACATGCGCTACTATCATCTATGGCACCGCTAGTGGTTCGGAATACAGGCCCTGTGAAGCAAAAAAAAAAGGAAAAAAAAGGAAAAAAAGGAAAGTCTCCATGGGCTTCCCAGAGCATGAACCTTGAGGATGCGCAAAACCCGTTCGCGCTCCTTTTTGACTGCCTGAGTTCTTGCGAGCAGTCGAGAAACAAGTCCGGCCAGCGACAAGAAACAGGCTGACGCGGCGAAGTGGGCGGGCAAGGCGGGCTCCAGTGGAATTGGATGCTGGGTGCTGGCTTCCCACCTTCCAGCCAGAGTGGTGCATTGAGCGGAGTGGGCACTGTGCTACCTAGGCCTTCTGTCAACGACCCCTGCATGACCGTTTTTTCTTCTTGTCGCGAATCGGAGCCGTGTGTTGGAGCCGGGCCTGGTGCTCTGTGCGACAGGGCAGGACTGTGGCCAGCCAAGGCCGCCGTCTTGACTAAACTGAGGCTGCCTGTGCCTGGGCAAATCGCCAGGCATACACGTCTGGGATGCGGGAAGAACGGCCATGCGCGGGAGGAGGTGCTGCGTGTGCACAGCCATACCGGGCCCCGGATTCCAGGTTTGGTGCGCCGGGAGCGACGGAAATAGAGATCTGATCGGGGGGTATGGTTTGCGTGCCGAGCTTTGGAGGAGGAGGAGGGGTTTGGGTGTGGGCAGCTCTTTGATAGAGTTGTCCTTCGAGGCCAGATGTGCCAGCCAGCCCGTCCGCCCAGGCCTCCCCAGGCCCAGCTGGATTGCGCCGAACACCAAAGGACTTGTCAGAAGCAAATGAGATGAGATGCTTCGATCCGGCGCCTTGCTTTTGGTGCCGCCTCCCGACTCGTGCGTCCGTCCGGTTCGCACCACGACAGCACCCGTGTTCTCGCAGGTCGCAGGACTATTTCTGCTTCTGCCGTAGGACCTTTGTGCGACTGCTGCCAAAGCGCACCCAGCCGGAGCCACCATGTTCGTATCGTACCGTGGCTGCCGTACCCATGGCTTGGCATCCAGATGCAGCGTGCGGGCTGCCTCCTCCACTGGGCGTATTTCCACTGTCCTATCCGCGCACGGCATTAGAGATGTGCTCAGCCCAGCTCCGTGAAAAAAAGGGGGGCGGTCGATCAAGCCAGAACCTGGCACTCAGACACCACCAGACTTCAGAGAATCCAGGACTGCCCCATTCCCACTAACGTCACACCCTCCATCCAACACAGCCAAGGCTCCAGCGAAGCGCAGGAGCAGACCTTTTTTAGCCTGGGATCCCTCCAGCAAAAACCCCTTCTCGCCCCTCTTCCGCGCATCCCAAGAATGCGGCCCTGGTCGTCCTCGAACACAACCCACCCCTTGTCTCGTTTCAGCCCGCCCGTTGTGAGGGAGCCGCGGCAGCGACACCCCCTCGACCCCTGCCTCTGCGCCGCAAAACCACCCGCCTCGCCTCTCTTTTAATCGGCGATTTCTGTTTACGCTCTGCGCTCCCGTCCGAGGTCCAGAGATTCTTTCTTTTGCCGTCAGAACCTAGCGCAGCAGAATAAAACCAACACTGGACCGACTCGAGGCCCAACGTCGGCTGCGCGCGATCCAAGCTGCCATCAACCTCGGCTGCGCCCACTCAGCCAAGACACCCAGCGCCACCACCCCCTGGGCGCCACGCCCCAGAGCATTTGATCTCTAATCCCCACTCTCTCCGCCAATTCCGAGCGGCCGCGACCCACGGATCAGACGAAAACCCTCGACTGCTCAACCAACCATCTCGACCGAGCTGTTCTTCCTCCTTACCATTGACACCCCAAACGTCTGCCAGCCGCCGCCCTCGATTGATTACCACCCGCCGACCGACCTAACGAACCCCCATCACACTCGCTTTCTACCTGCTGTTTGCCGGCGAAAACAGTCAGCTCCGTTTCGTGCGCCCTAGAGGCCCTTTTTTTGCAAACCCATTCAATTCCGTGACAGAATCAATCCCGCACCTGCGACCGCCCGCCCATCGCCGATTCCTCAATCGACCCGGCCTCTATCGACCGCACACAAACCGGACAGGCCCGGCTCCTCGCGCCGAGGGGAGTCGATTCATCCCCGCCCGACCTGGCTTACCAGCGTCAGGACTCGCGAGGGTCTTCTCTAGGCGAAGACCCGGGCGTCTCGCAGAGCTTCCCGTCGACGCATCCGCACTGGTCGAACCAGCTCGACCAACCGCGGCAACCCCAACAACAACAGTCGCCGTTCGACAACCCAGCCTACATTTGTCGAGAAGAACCGGGGGCCACGCCTTCCGCACCCCGTCGCAAAATGTTCGGCTTTATCGCGACGAAATGGCCGAGGCTATTCTTCGCCATCACGTCCTTCCAGGCCATCATCTGCCTCGTCTTTGAAGGGTGAGTCGACCGCGCCGAGATGCACACAAATATTTACCAGGAACGTCGGTGCTGACCAGGAACCTATCCAAACAGCTACGTTTTCGGCCGCTTCGAGAGCGCAGTAACATACATTCCATATGACAAACAGTCTTCTCTAGAAGGTGCACCAGCCCAGTCGATCCCGACATTTTTGGCACTCTTCATCTTTGGTTTCTTGTTCCAGGTTGTGCTCGTCTGGGATGCCCTGCGGATGAAGAACACCATCCAGGTCATCGGCATCTGCGTGTCGAACCTGGCCATGATGCTGTACACGGTCATCCAGATCGACCAGATCAAGTCGGCTATCGACGTGCTGTCCTCTCATGGCCGCCTGCAAACCATGACCGCGGCCGAGCTCTGGGGTGACTGTCAGCCACTCCTCATCGCTATCCCCATCATAGTCGCCCTGTGCACTCTCGGCATGGGCTTCGTCGCCTGGAAGCTGTACCAGGAGTTCGCCTGGGACATTCTCAAGCACATCGGTGCCGACTACAGGATGAAGCGGCGCTTCCTGCACTACCAGGTAAGTCATCGGCCTTGTTTCTATATTCCGAACTGCAAGGGAGTCGCTCACTCACACTCGAACCACGCCACAGGTTTACATCGCGCTCCTCAAGTTCGACTTTTTCTTCTTCCTGGGCTTCACGGTCCAGTTCCTCGTCATTGTGGGAGGCTCTTCGGGCGCCGAGACCATTCTGACGGGCGTGGCAATTCCCTTGACGATCGCGATCCTGCTCTTTGCCGCCTTCTTCACTCGCCGCGAGAACAAGATCGGCATGGGCTGCATCATGGTTCTTTACTTTGGTGGCCTGTCGTACTTCTTCTTCAAGCTGGTGCGCATCTACCAGCCTGGCCACAGGGACAAGTACAAGGCCGTTGAGCGGTCGCTGACGGCCTTTGCCGTCCTCACCATCATCCTCATCATCTTGACCATCACCAACGCCTTTGTCTGCATGAACAACTTCGGTGCCGGCCTCAAGAACCACCTGATCAACTCGCCTAAGCAAGACGAGGAGAAGCCTGACGCCCACTCCATCAGCCTGCACGATGTCAAGCCCCAGCTCCCCAGCAGGATGACCATCGACTAAGCGTCTCCAACGATACATTAATGTCTTCCCTCTCTACGGCATCTCTTTTCTGTCGCCACCTCGTATTACACATTCAAAAGCAGTACCAGCCGCAAGCATCAACATTGTCGCCACGGCCCATCGTGGCAACTTTCATTTCCCCCCTCCATACGCTACCGCACACCCGCAAGGCATCTTTTCTAGTTATCGTCGAAGGGCTCTTTGTTGCAACTTCGTTGTCTCCGTGCCTGCCTTTATTACCTTTACTACGCTATGGAGGCTGGTTTTGGGCGTCGCGTTCCTCGGACCGGAGCGATTCCGTCGACAGGTACCGCCCGAATATACAACGTCCACGACTTGACGATCTTTTCCTTGCTAGACAGGCGCAGCGGAGCCAGCGATGAGGGAGGAATGTGTCGTGGGGGGAGAATTATCTACCCCAAATCACCCTGCCTTCCCTCGCGGGTCAAGCTGCTGGTGTTTGTTGACCTTGACTTGGTGAGGTCGGAATCAGGGGAGTTGGAGGAAAACGAGAGCGGATTTTGCCTCCATTCATTTCCCCACCGTCGTGAGGGAATCATACCCGGCTATCGGCCACTTTGCATTTTCTGCCGTCTTTGCTTTTATTTCTGTTATTGTCTTTTATTTCCTTTATCGCACTTGTTCCTTGCGTTCTTCTGCTAGCTAAGAGCCAATTGCTGCTTTGTGATTTCAACGTCAACGATTCCCCAACCCCAGGCTAGGAAGTCTTTTGTTGATCTATCTAGAGGTTTCCATACTCAATACCACTAGGATCCCTAGGTCCTCAGCCAACTCGTCCCGCCACCTAAGACCTGTTTGCCCCCATGCCCTTGGTGTTTGTCACCGCGTTGATGTTTTTGGGTTGTGGGGAACGTTGTGTTATTGCAAGGCCTTGGTGGCGTCTTGTGGGTCCATTGTCTTGGGATGAGGCTTGGGGCAAACAACCAGCCTTGGCTGGCCACCCTGGCGTTGCTATATTCGGCAGCAACCTTGTAGCCCCCTCACTCCACCCTCCCACGGGGTAATGCTATTCAAGAAATGAGGTAAACAAAGGCCGGGACATGGAAGGCCGAGTGTTCGCCCACCAAAGTGCTAGCTCGGCCCTTGTCTGTTTTCGTCCTGGGATATTTTGAGAAGAATGAAAGAAGGAGAGACTGCCCAGGCTGTCGGCCGGCTGTTCGGACCTGCCTGACGTCACTGCCCAAATCAGGTCGAGGGCTATGCCTGTTGCTCGACACCACCCCTCACCGCATCCGTTCATCCACCCGCGTCGCTTCCGTGTCCTCCATCTCCCAGGCCTCTCCCACGGTAGCCTCTGGGTTTGACCCAAACGGCATCCGGGCGCGTCAAAACCCACGCGATTCGGTCCCGGGAGGAAACCACGCGGGACCACTTGGCGTTTAGCACGTGGGTGAGGAGGTATGGTGAAAGGGCAAGGAAAACAGGGGGGGTGGATTTGCTAGTAAACGGCTGTGGAAGCCCGTTTGACGTTTACCTAGATAGCCTGGGGGATACGTCTAAAAGCTTTACATATGTTATTGGGCAGTTAGTTCCTTTACGCGCAAAATCTTTTGCAGTTTTTATCGTTGATACCCGGCAATGGCTGCTGCTGGCCGTTAAGGCCGTGACGGGACCCAGGTCTTCGCCATCAGCGGGTGTTTCTTTTTGTTTATAATAACGCTATATTGCAATAATGGTATTTTGGGATGCGGTGAGTTAACTTCAGTCCAATTGCTGTTGTTAAAATTCCCTGCTTCCTCACTGCGTAGATGGAACAACTTACCCGATATAGTCACCAGCACTGGCCGCCGGCAGGCAATTAAGGTTACTAAAACATTAACCGCGCAGCTACATGGGAAGAACGACGTGAGAAAACCAGTACATACGACCATACCCACTGGAATATACGGGATCCCGTCCGCTCTCCCCTA